TTTGCAGGGAAATGGATGGCATTAGAGCAGATTATGCTAAGTGAAGCTAGCCAATCCTTAAAAAACAAATGCCAAATGTCTTCTTTGATATAAAGAGAGCAACTAAGAACAGAACAGGGAGGAAGAGCATGAGGAAAAGATTAACATTAAACAGAGACGAGTGCTGAGTGATTTTAAGGGTTAATTAGTTCAAATTTACAGAGTGCTTGGAAAAGAACATGTGGTATACAGAAACTAATTAATAAAATATACACTTCATAAACATGTCAACCATCCCACCCTAATCTTCCCTTCTCCAATATATTGCTAGTTTATTTTTGTATTATGTATTTGCCTTTATGAGAGCCAATAAAATATTTCTCTTATTGTTTTAATATCAATATTTTATCAAGTATTTCTTTTCTCAATAAATACAAATTGCATTTTGTTGGAATATTTCTACAGCTCAATCTCTTTAAAAATAAAAATGGTAAAATAAAAAGTTATATGGTCCTCATTAATCAAGAAGAAAATAAAATCAGATGGCTTTCAGTCCATTTTCCAGTAATGTATGAAATATTGGAAATGGTTGGTGTTTTATATATGTTTACTTTAGATTTAAATGAAATTTTTATAATGCTGTCTAAAATACAACCCAATTAAATTTCCAATGTCTTTGTTTTCATATGTCTGAATAAAACATTTGAAAAACTTATTCTGTAGTAATACAACCACCTTGCTAAGGAAATTCTGCAGGAGTTGGAAATGGTATCTTTTTTGTCTGTGTGGGGGTACATAAGTCTAGACTCTTTAGTAGAGGGTTGTTCTGGTTGAGTTTGGAATTCTTCCCCTGTTCTCCTAATGGCACTCTACAGGTAAGGGGGTGTTATGGACAGGCATAGAGCTATCATTTGAGAAAGTTGAATCCAGAGAATTTGAGAGAGCTACTTAAACCATGCAGCCAATGGCAAGTTAAAGTTCCCAGGACTTCTTTTCTATAACCTCTACTTCATTAATGGATAGCTCCATTGATGGGTAATTATGGGTAATTCTTAGCTTTTTGCCAAGACTGGGGCCAATTTCTCAGGAGCAGCCAAGATAATTTACTTAGACATAACAACACAGCTATGTAAAGCTGACCACAGTAGAGACTAGACTAAGACCAGTTTGTACATATCACCTCCTTTCTCTTCACAGGAGCTCTTGAAGATTCTGTTACAGCTTCCATTTTATAGATGGGAAATTGAATAACTCAGAGGTCACTTCACTTATATCTAGGAAGTTGTCAAACCACAAAAGGGGGAAAGAAGTAAATGGGATGAAAGTCCACATTATTATTTAAAAACAGGCATACTCTGTGTCTTTTTTGATAAGAGTCATAGGCAAACAGTGGCATCAGGAAACATTTTTGAAATGTGGGTTTAAGTTTTGGGAGCATGAATAGTATGAACTTGGCACTCATGTCTAGGGATGATCACAGTCGCTTTGCATAAATACATAATCCTTTCTGCCAGTGAAATATAGAACAATGCTTAAGACACTTGGGCAAATTATTTTCACCCAAGTATCAGCTACTGTTTATAAAATCCTGTTAAGACACTGTTGCTGACAAGAGTTAGCACTGGGGAGCCAAACCGGTCCTTCCCTTATGTCAGTGATGTTCTTGTGGCTGACAGAATACTTATTCCTGGAGGTAACTGTTCTGAATTGTGCTTTGCCCCTTTCATTGTTACAAACTTGTGATGGAGAGTGGGTGGGAAGGACAACCTGTAATTCAGGGTGGTTTGGAAGCCAGTTGCCTAGGAAACTGAGATGAGCAGCATAATGCTCACCCAAACCAACTGTCAACAAGAGAGGGGATTTTCTGATTTGATCCAAGCTGCTTTCCAAATATATATACCTTGTGCCTCTAGTGGAGCCTATAGGGCCGTTGGCCCTTGGTGAGCATGCAGGAGTGGGCCACAAGTTAGTGGATAGGAAATTTTTCATCAACTGTGCTGACAAAATATTTGGGAGGGGGCATTATGCTGCCCTTAAAATGAGTTTGTAAGAGGATAAGGTGATCAAGTGAAGAAGAATTTACATAGCATAACATACAGGCAGTTGGTGATCATAACTTATGTGCATCCACATTTATAGCAGCAACGCTTACCTTTTTTTTTTTTAACATAAAAGTTTCATTTGCTACAATCCACTGCTCCCTGCTCTTACTCTACGCACACCAGATGCTCTGGTTTATAGTAATTATCTTCAAGAGTAGCACTTAGACATTCATAAATCCTTGATGAAAATGGTATCTAATTTCTCAAAACTTTTAAATGATGCATATTTAATTTTTAATCTGGAACGTTATCATACATGTTCACACATATATTTTGTAAGTCTGTATGTACATATTTTAGTTGAACCATTTTAAATTGCTGATATTAGAGACTGTGACAATAATAGCAATTTTGTATAGTTCAACTCATAAATACATAGAAGAAATTATAGAATAAGATTTTTTTTGAAATTTTTTCCCCCAGTTTTTCATGGATCTCCTACTCCCTCTTTCCCTTCTCTACTTCATACTTCCCTATATCCTATCCTATCCCACCCTCACTCTCTTTTTGCCCCGCGGGCAATCCACATTATAACCAACTATATAACTTCTACACTCCTTGTTATAGTTTGGGTCTGGAATGTTCCCCAAAGGCTAATGTGTTTAAGACTTTGATGCCCAATGCAACATTACTCAGAGATGGGGCTTTGGGGACGTTACTGGGTATGAGAGCTCTGATCCCATCAGTGGATTAATCCATTCAAGGATTCGTAACTGAATGGATTTTGGGGAGGCAGTGGAACCTACCTGGAGGGAGTAGGTCCTTGAGGGCTTACTCTTGGTGACTATGCTTGTCCCTGGCCCCTTCCTTTCTCTCTGTTTCTCTGCTATATGAAGTGAACAGCCTTCTTCCGCCAGGCCCTTCCACCATGATGTTCTGCCTCACTCAGACTCAAAGCAATGAAGTCAGCCAACCATGAACTGAAGCCTCTGAAATTGAGCCAAGTAAGGCTTTCCTTCTTTAAGTTGTTTTGTCAGGTACTTTTCACACTGATGGAAAGCTGATTCACACACTCACAGACTCAGATAAAAGTATGTCTATGTATCCATGTTCATACTAGTGAGAAAAGCTACGATATGGAATCTCTGACTCCAAGATTATTTGGGGGTTTGTTTGCTTTGCCTGTTATCTATAGCTAGATATTCTTTTTCCTGCCTATGAATATTGCTTCTCTTTCCTCCTATCATTAATGGATTTCAGCCTGTTTTTAAATATTCCCCTTATTGTTTTTTTTAACATTAATTCACTTGAATTCTAATTCTCTTATATGTGCTAGAAACTACTTACAAATGATTCAAGCTGTAAAGCATGGTACCATTTCACAAAAGTGGGTTCATTCTTCTTTTCTGGTTTCCCAATTTTGCCTCCACAGCGTAACCTATTATTTTGCAAAGTTAAGGATAAGCACTTTGAGAAGGAAATACTTTGGTCGGTCTTCTGTAAAAGACCCAAAATTTCATGCCATTTCCCTCAAGGACAGATGACCTCCCCAGAGTTATTTCTCTGGTTCCCCACCATCAACAGAAAGTTAAAAGTCAGTTAGGCAATAGGGCCATATGATTACACCTGGTGATTTATGTCATATGTGATGGTCTTTGAAGTCTTATGATTTGTAAGGGGCAGTTCCACCACAGAAGTGACAGGAGCTCTTACATTCTTCCTCTTAGCCAAGGGCAGCTTCTCTTCTCACTGCCAACTTCCATCACGATTGAGCCCCATTCTTCTGATAGGGGATGATATTTATCTTAGTGAGAGAGCTTCACTCAACAAGATGGGAAATTTTCTGTGACACTGGGCCACAGGGTTATTCTGGGACTATACCACTGTTTTCAACAGAGGGAGAAGGCAAGGAGGGCTCAGGGTCAGGGGCTCACCGCTTTTTCCATTCCGCCCTGACTTACCTCTTTATGCATCTGTGCAAGTCTGTGGTCACATACAAATACCTCCTGTTGACCTAGCGCTTGTCAATGGGTTATAGCTCCTTCTCCTGTGTGGAAACGAAGCGTTTTGTAATGAAGTAGAATGTCAATTACCAGGAGCTGTGAATTGAAGGTCTCTGGGGAGCAGTTCAGAAAGCTCCGTTCCTAAGAGCTGTGATTGGTATGCCTGATAGGGTTTCCTGGGTGAGTCATTTATCCTCAGTAGTGTGGACCCTGGCCAGGGAGAACACGATTCACTCCAGTTCTCCTGTGAGTGAGGGATGTTATTTACTTGGAAGCAGAGTCTACCCTTCTTCTGCCTGTCAAAGGGTTTCAAAGCTGCTGTACCAGGAACAGGTTCAGAACACCGACTTCAGTGACTAGTGACCCTTGTCCTCCCCTTCAGTAGAAAAATTCCTAAATAGTCCTAGGGGAAAAGAAGCAAATCCTGACAACTGCTTGCAGATCATCTTAGAACTCAGGCCCAGAAGAAATGTTTTTAGGTAGGAGGAAAGAGTGAGGCAAAATAAATAAATGAATAAAAAAGGAAAATAAAATTTAAAAATCCAAGAGACTGGTGTACAGAAGGGTAGCTATTTGTAGCTCACTCAGGTGTGCTCTGAAGGTCAAATCCCTACATCAGCATTTGGTAGGAAACCCTTAAGCTTCTCTACCTTTTAGAAAGCACAATTTAATCTCTCCCTCCTCTCTCTCTCTCTCAAACACACACACACACACACACACACTTCATACTTCATATGATCCCACCTGCAAGTCTCCCAGGGAGGCAGTTTCTATGGCCAGGTGATGTTCCAAGGAGGCTGTAATTTCATAAACCTACCAAGAAGATTGACGTGGGAGGCTCCTTAATTTAAGTCCTGGAAGGCTTTTTCTATTTTCTTTGGGAAGTGTGTGAATAATTGCAGTGCGGCTTTGCGTCCAAAACTGGACAGTGAATCAAACAACAACGTCGACAACAACAGCTCTTATCCGGGCCACCATGGAGTTTCTTGAAAGAACTTCCCTGGTGAATGACAAAGCCCCTAAGATGTACGCCTTCACACTAGACAGGTAACAGACATCTCTGTCTGCTTCTTTCACTTTCCATGCCTTAAATATTCAACAAATGCTCGGATGCTGTTGCTTCTGAGTGTTTTGCAACTTGGGGGCATTTGGGAACATTTTAGAAGCAACTGATTGACTCATATAATACATACTCTGAAAAGTGCAATACTCTATATAGTTGATTTGATTCCTTAAATATCTATTAAGTGCATGATGAAAACATTTTTAGTAAAGCATTTTTTCCTCTGGTCTTTTTTATTTTACAGAAAATAGACATATACCATCTAATATATTTGCTTTTCCTTCTCTCAATTACTCTCCAATTCTAGATCATAAAATGTATTAGTTATATTTAGAAACAATTAAGTCTTTACTACAATGGGGGAAATTATGGTTATATTGATCATAAAATTAATTATTTTATATCAATAGATATGTTATAGTAAACATTGCAAAATTTAATGTTCTACAGTTTCAATTCCTTTTACTATCTCCCACAGTGCTATATGCAATGTACTTGTTCATTTTTTTCATATTCAACAAATATTGATTGGATGTACCTGTGCTAAATTTTGGATGTATGACAAAAAAGAAAATATTCCTGGTCCTAGGTTTCTGTCCTCTTGAAACTTTAGAGTCTATTGTAGAATACACATAAGAAAGGGCAATTAAAAATAGCATGCTGGGGGCATTTGATGAGACTACATCAAGGGAACCTAGGTCTTGGTTGAACTTTGGCTTCAGAGCTTTTTTTCCTCCAGAAGTTAACAGCCTAAGGATTGGAAAATAAAATGGAATTGGAGTAAGTTTGGGGGTCCCTGCATAGAATGCGGGATCAGAGAATGTATATCAGATTGAGACCATGGCACAGTAAAGAGAGAAACGTATAAGAAAGAGATCTTGGCGTGTTTTGGAAGATCAATCAGAATGGGGACTTATGAGAAACACACTCAGTATATACAAATAAATGAATTAACATCTGAAATGAATTCACCTTGGGAACAGAATTTAAGAGAATACTTACTCTTAAATAACATGTAAATATGTAATGCTTTTGTTTGTTTCCTGGAACCAAATTAATATTATAAAGAATAGCAATATATGTTTGATAGCATCAAATATTTTAGTAACTGCAAAGCAATTTTTTTCTAAAGGATATTTATAAGTTTGCTTTTAAAAAAACTATTTAACAAAGAATCTAGCATCTGTATTATCTCATATTAGAATAGCTATTTCTTAGATGAGATGTAATTTATTTTGGTCATGAACACCAAAAACAAAGCCTTATGTTAAGTCAGGTAGAAATTTTGGGTGACAAATTTTTAACACTAAGGACATTGCTAACAGATCATCTCTATGTCATAGAAACCACAGTATTTCTTTTCTTGTTAAGATAGACTATTAGCACTCTGTGGCCTGTGCGTGCGCACACACAAACATACACACACACACACACACACAAAACCATTTATTGTTATAGTTCTCATTCACCTCATCAATGGGCATGGTTTTCAAGACATAGTATTTTTCGAAGTCATCTTTATTTGCTGGTCAAATAAAAAGACTAAATCTGGAGATGATTTACCCTGCTCCTTCTTTTTACTAGGTAGGCAATGAGTACCAGAGATAGCAAATGCTTTGTTTAAGGTCAGATGGCTCAGTACGGCAGAGCTGAGATGCAGACCCAGGCCTTCTGTTTGTCAGCCTAGGACTCCCCTTTCATCTGCACCTGCACGTTCATCACGTGCCCTCTGCATCCTTCACCTAGCTCCTCCTGAGGTCCTGTACATCTCAGTTCTCCCGCTCATTTCCTTTGCATACCTCGTCCATCTCCTTTGTCATGTATTTTCCCCTGTCTCTATTTCATAAATGACTTTGTTCCTTCATATTCCTTCTCTTTTCTCCTTCCTTTCTTTTCTTCTACTCATCACTAGATTGCTATTTAAAGTTTTACCTACTGTTAATTAATCTGGAGGAAACTTTACCCTGTAATTCCACAAAGGGAGTGTTTCATGTATCTGTTGTTATCCAACAAACTATCCCCAAATATGGTGGCTTGAGCAACATTTCATTTTACTACTCATGATTCTGTAGTTTGGAATTGGGGTGGACTCCATTTGGAATCTCTTGGCTTTTCCTAGGAGGCTGCATTCTACTGGTGTCTGAGCTGGGTAGCAAGGTCCAAGATGGCTCCACCTGCATGCCTGGGGTCTAGGTGCTGGCCTTTGTCTATGGTCTTGTTCTTCTTCCCATGGCTTCTTTCTGTTTATGGTGACTCACTTTATCAGGTTAGCCTGGAATTCTTTATATGGCAGTGCAGGGTAGCAAGAAAGCAGCTGTGGATACTGACAGCTCTCAGATAGGCTAGGTCCAACCCTGGCAGAGCATCATTTTTACCACCCTTAATGGATTAAAGCAAGTCTCAAGATTCAGATTCCAGAGGTGGGGCAAAAGATTCCAACTATTGATGGCATGTATAGATAGGATGAAAAGTCATTGGAGTTCATTTTATACACATTTTTACTACAAGAAATCTTAGTAGTGGGCCCTGTAGGTACCATGAACACTATTGTGCACTCTTCACTTTCTTCTCAATTCCTGTTTCAGTAATGGGATTCATGGTAGCAAAATGATATTTGTGTAAAATTGACATACACAATTGATATGTTTTCTTGGCCCTGGGTGGGAGGAATAGGGTTTCTCTTTTTCTTCAAATCATATATTAAAGCAATGCAGGGAAGCTAGGGCAGGGACAGCTGGTAGGGATAAACTGCTGGAGTCTTGTCAACAATGATTTAACTGGTGAAAATTTACATATTCTATCTATCTTATCTATCTATCTTAAGGACATGCAGAAAACTGAATATTACTTATTCAAGAAAACCCACCAAGTCTTAGTGAGAAGTGAGAGTTAGGGGCATTTAAGTCAAGACCTGTCTATTACCTCCTCCCATCCAAAAGTGCAGTGTGATGGTAGCTGTGCTTTGAATAGTTGTAGCCAAAAGACAGTGATACCTCTCCTCCCAGATTCTAATTGAAGGCTATAGTTCATCCTTGCAGGAAAAAGTATTTTGAATCACTTATTGCTCCAGATTTATATTTCAGAACCTCTATGTAACATGTATGTGGCAAAAAAGGAAGATGGTTCCCTTTCTTCACCCAACCCACACTCATAGGGTAAAATGTCTACTCAGTAAGGTTCAGAATACTCCTGTCCCAGCTTGCTCATAAAATAGAAGTTCTGTTTTAGGCAGCACAAGCAAAGAACACCAGGGGTTAACATCTTCATTTAGCACTCTACTTACAGAGTAAGTGTCACTCCAAGAGAACTAGGTCACTCTCCAACCCACCTGCTCTTGGTGAATGGTGCAAAAATAAGGCACAAGAATAAAGAGCCATGTATCTTTCCATTTGATGATTGATGGTACACAAGTTGAAATAATACTGGAACAAAGAAAAGGGATATTCAAGCATAAGAGTGCTGCTATTGAAAACAGCAAAGACTTTTCTGGTGAGCAATTATGAATAGGCTGATTGCTTCATTATAGTAACAAGTTAAAGGTAGAAGAGATAGATATTTAACAGAAGTAGATAAGGTAGGACAAAGGTAAGAAGAGCCCTTCTGGACTTGGTGCTAACCTCAAAAGTTAGCCTCAAATACCCCTAAAATAGTCTGTTATTAAATAAATGTTTAAATTCTCCCTAAATTCATATGTTGAAGCCTGAATGCTCAATGGGGCTAAATTGGAGATGGGGCCCCTAAAGAATGGATTAAGGTTAAATAAGGCTGTAAGAGTGGGGCCTTTATCTGAGTAGATTAGTGTTCTTATAAGAAGAGAAAGCAGAGAGATCATTTTTTTCTCTTTGTGGATGTATGCTGAGGAAAATCTCTGTTGAGAATATAACCAAAAAGCAGATATCTATAAGCTATCAAGAGATACCTTCTCTAGAAACTGAATTTGCTAGTGCCTTGATCATGAGGTTTCAGCATCCAGAACTGTGAGAAAATAAAATTCTGTTGTTTAAGTCACCCGATCTATGGTATTTTATTATAGCAGCTCAGGCTGACTAATGCAGGGCACAAATTTATTGGAACATTTGGTGTCTCAAGGCATTGTTGAAAACTGTGGAGTAGTCATCAAGCAATTAAAGAGGCCAAAATCTGAGTGTAATACCAATATAGGCAGAGTAATCAGAAGCTTAATACTGAAGCCATAAGAAGAAGCAGTCAAAATGAACACAACCAAAATAGTCTCCATTCCCAAGGGATGAAAGAAGGATAAGGATGACTGTGCATGTGGCCAACAATGTATCTAAGAGGCATGACAACAGAGTCTGCACATTGAATAAAGCCAGAGAAAATAGATTCCACTATACTAGACAAGCCACTAAACAAATAATAAGTAAACAATAATAAAAAGTCAACAAGGAGGCTGGGGTTGTGGCTCAGTGGTAGAGCACTTGCCTAGCATGTATGAGGCACTGGGTTTGCTTCTCAGCACCACATATAAATAAATAAAATAAAGGTCCATTGACAACTAAAGAAAATGTTTAAAAAAAGCCAACAAGGAATCGGTATTCAGAATTACCACAACATACTATATAAAATTTCCAGTTTTCAACAAAATTTCATGAGATGCAAAAAACAGGAAAGAACAACCTATATTTGGTAAAAAGCTAAGCAATAGAAACTGCCTTTAAGGAGGCCCAGATATTAGACTTGGAATTCAATGATTTAAAACAAATATTATAAATACATTAAAACCATTAAAGGAAATAATGTTTATGGAATTAAAGATAGATGTGATCATAATGTTACATCAAATGGAGGATATCAATTAATAGAATATATTAATTTAAAAATGTATATAAAAATGTAAATTCTAGGATTTACATGTATAATAAACGAAATTTTATAAAATTGATGAAGGGGCCTAACAGTAGAACTCTTCTACTGGCAGGATGCAACAGAGAAAAAGAATCAATAATCTTGAAAATAGAGCAATAGATACTATGCAACAAAGAATAAAGACTGCAAAGAAGTTAATATAAACTCAGGGAAATGTGATATGGAATCTAACACATTAACATAAGCATAATAGGAATGCAAGAAGGAAAGTGAGAAAGGAGAAGAAAAATATTCAAAGAAATAATGGCTGAAAGTTTTTTAAATTGGGTTATGTCATAGTTTCTTACTACAAATCCAAACTATAGGTGACAACATAAAATTTATACAAATAGGAAAGCATTGAAATAAAATATTTCATTCTACAAATAATACCATCAAGAAAAATAAACCATGGGTTAGGAGAAAATATTTGTTAATTATCAGATTAAGGCTGTGTATCAGAATAAATAAAAGATTATTATAATTTAATATTTTAAAGATAAATAAATGAACTTAAAAATGTGTGAAGAATTCAGATAGATATTATACATTTATTAAATAAATAAACGTATAATAAGCATGTTAAAACACATTAAATATACTCAACATCATTAATCATCAGGGAAATAATAATCAAAATCACAGTGAGATAACTACTTCATAACCAGTAGGATGTTTACACTAAAGAAAAGATAAAATAAAACAATAACAAGTGTTGGCAAGGATATGGAGAAATAGGAGTTCTTATATGTTGTGTGTGGGAATGTAAAATGGTACAGTGCTTTGAAAGACAGTCTGGTAGTTTCACAAGGTGTTCAACATAGTTACTATATGACACAAGAATTCCATCCCTAGGTATTTATTCAAGAGAAATAAATAACTTGCATAAAATTTTCATAGAAGTATTATTCATAATTATTCCCCTGAACCCCCAAAGGAAACAATTAACAAATATATGAAATAGTATATATCCATTCCAGGGAGTATTACTTGGAAATAAAAATAATGAAATATTGATGTAGTGATATTTGCTATATTATGGATGAACCATGAACACATTATGCTGAATGAAAGAAGCCATTCACTCCATTTATGTAAAATGCAAATGTATAAAGACAGAATGTAATTAGTGGTTGCCTGAAGAGATGGATGTCAGGAGACTAGAAAATTACTGCTAATGGATAAAGCGTTTCTTCTTTTGGGTGCTGACCATCCAACCCTGAATATGCTAAAAACCATTATGTTATATGTATTAAATGGGTCGGTCCTTTGCATGGTAGGTGAATTTTATCTTAATAAAGCTGCTAAAAGGTGGATGATTGGTTCATTTCCAGGACAAGAAGTTACATCTAATTATGTGAACATGCCTGTCCCCCTGTTTCCCCTAAACTACTTCTTTCCCCCCTCAAACTGCTTCTTTCACATCACTCATTTATTTCACAAACATTAAGTGAGATAGAATCCCAACACATATGTACTGGACATCTACTATGTTTGAGAAAGGCTTCCATGCTCTGAAAGTGCAGGATTATCTCAGGGCAGACAAGGAGAGTAGGTAAGCAGGGGAAACAGAAGCCAAGATATGCTAAGGAATTACAGAAATGTTCTCTCCCTCTGTGACATTTATTCTTCTTTAGGAACAGAGAGTCCATCTCCAATCTTGTTGTCACTGGAGTTGGCTAGAATAATGGGTGCAGACAAAGGGAAAGCCAAAAAATTTTGGTTTTTGATTATTCAAGGCTGTTTGAGTCAGCTTTTTTGCTGCTGTGACTGAAAGAATTGTAGAGGAGGAAAAGTTTATTTGGAGGCTCACAGTTTCAGAGGTCCCAGTCCATTGACAACCACCTCCATTCCTTGGGGGCTTGAAGTGAGGCAGACAGAACATCACTACAGAAGAGTGTGGTGGAGAGAGAAGCAGCTCATATGATGATCAGAAAGCAGAGAGATTCCACTCTCCAGCTATAAACTATGTACCCCAAAGGCTCATCCGCAATGCTCTACCTCCTCCAGCTGCATACTTCCTGCCTTCAGTTCCCACTCAGTTAATCATATCATGGGATTGATTTGCTGATCAGATTAAGGCTTTCATAACCCAATCACTTTACTTCTAAGTTTTTATGCTTTGTCTCATACATGAGCTTTTTGGGGACACCTCATATCCAAACTGTAATAAAGGCTTAATTATAAAAGTGCTTATTCCAAAAGTCGTTTTCAAACATACTTTACTTTATTCTTTTGGAAGAACAATGGCAATAATAAAATGCAGTTCCATTATTTAAGAACAACTTTAAAAAAATGTACACTTATCTTGTTCCAGACACACTTGAAGTATTTCTATGAACTAGCTACATCTCACAGCAACCCTGTGAGAGATATGCTATCATGAGGAAATTAAAGCACAGAGAGGTTAAGTAATTATCCTACAGTCATAAGATTAGTGAATGGTAAGGCTGGGAGTTCATCTTAGGTGGTGGGATGCCAGCACCCACGTCCTCAGTCTCCACACTACTGCTATCTACTTAACCCCATCTCAGGAATCTGTATGCCCATCTTCTTGATGTTCTAAATAGAAACTTATGAGACATCTTTAAGTCCCACCCTTCTCTTGTTCCCTTTAACTGACATTGTATATTAGTAAGCCCTGTTGACTGTATCTCACTTTAGAAAATAAAAACCTACCTAAGATTATACAAATAAAGCTTCATTTTCTAAATCCTATTTAAACAGATTAATTCAGTTCAAGACTACTTGCATAAAATTTCTAATGTTTCTTTTATCTCTGCTCCTCTCTCTACCTTTTCTTCTTGATGCACTTTAGCCTATTATTCCTACTCTTCAAAGTTTTGACCACATTTGAATGCATGAGAATCTATTGGGATTTATTCGTGAATAGCAAATTCATATTTCATTTTTTGATGCCTCATAGCATTTACTATTTTTATAACCCTTTAAAATAATACTTCTTAGAATTCCCATTGTTTTTCAGATCCAGAGCCTGTTCTGCATCTAGAGACATCTAGATCATGTTGCTTTAATGAAGTGATGAGGAATGTATTTTAACTTTGTTTTTTAACTTCTTGTGGGGTCATGGGCCCTTTTGGGAACCACTGAAGACTGTGAGCTAGTGCCTCTCACTGAATATACACACAGACACATATAAATATCATATCCAATGCTAAATCCAACCAGGCTGACTCTGATAGCTGAGAATAGGGTAAATTCTACCCAAACCACATGATTGCAACTCAGTGGATATGAATGACAGGAACACAGCAGGATCCTAACAGAGATGCAGCTTCAGAACCTGATTCCTAGTTCTACATAGTTACAATCTTATCAGTGTTAAATCTTCTATATCATTACTTTTAACTTTATATTTAATATAGATGTGTCTTGTAAACTAAGCTCCTCCTTTCCTTCTCACTCCTATAGTTAGAGACCATGAATTCAAATCTAACCTACTGATATGATTACCAGCAATTTTTCTCTTGGTTTTCTGTTTTTTTGTGAGTCTAGATTTTCTATAATGAATATGTCTGCCTATCTATCTATCTATCTATCTATCTATCGCTTATTCATTCCAAAAATACGATATAATGTTAGAGGCCACATAATAATAATCAGCTAAACTCAAACCATCAGGTTTTTAATGGTAATAAGCCAAATGAAATCACTTCTCAAGCAGAAGCTAATTTATTGCCCTGTTCTTTCTTTCTTTTTTCTTTTTCCTTCCTTCCTTCCTTCTCTGCCCCCCCCTTCTTTCTTTCCTTTCAGATCCAGAACTGTGAAGTTCTTAATTCCAAGAATCTCATTAATATTTTCAAATAAGTTTATTTTAAAATTTAAAAATCTTATTAGTTTAAGATCCTTGGACACTGACATCTCCATGAGTAAAAATGGGTTTCAGGCATACTGATATTGGGATAGGGAAGCAGCACGTGGAATCGTAGAAGGACAATGGGTTTGGCCTTTCTGCCCGATCATTTCCTCACCATTGAACCTCTGCCAGTTACTTAACCTCTCTGAACCTTAGTTACTTCAGCTGAGAAATTCTGCAGTTGGATTAAATGCTATCTACGATCTTTCCATTTATGAAATTCTAGGATTCCATGAATGGCTCTAAATCACACTTTTATGCTCTGGCAGAACTGATACTCAGGGCCTACTTTGAGAAGGGTGAGCAGGTTTCACTCTAGCATGACGTTGATTGGTAGAGTTTGTCTACCAAGGAGTGGTGGTAAGAAAATTTTTGAAGGTCTGTATGGACTCAGAAGGACAAGTAGTAACCAGGTTGCCATGTGCCTGAACCCTCAGTCAGTCTCACATAAACATATCATGCAATGTCCCCTGGTAGATTTTATTATCGCCCAGTTCCAAGTGAAATAACTGGGGAAGTCTTGCATTAAAGTCGATCTTCCTCTTTTTTCCTGCCCTTTGATGTCTCTTAATCACTGGTTGATATGGATAAGAAAATGTTTTCGCTGAATAAAAGTAAAACTTGCAGTACTTGTGGATACAGAAGGGAATGCCTTGCTTGCTCCGAACACTCGATACTTTCTTGTAGGGGGATCTGTGAACTAAAACTTCCGGGCTGGTTAGCAAACGTCTTAACAGCAGCTCTGAGAACAGCAGGGCTGTCTGCGAGGGGTTTGCAATGATGCTCACTTTTTGCTTCTGTCAAACCCAACCACAGTGCGGAACTCCAACAGAAACCTGTGAATAAAGATCAATGTCCTGGAGAGAAGCCAGAGGCACCTGAGGCAGGAGGCATTTATCACTGCCACAGCAACTCCAAGGCCACGGAGAGCAGGGTGAAGGAGCAAGCGCACGCCAAGTGGAAACTCTGCGCGGCCTCGGCAATATGCTTCATCTTCATGATTGCGGAGGTCGTGGGTGAGTACTGCCCGGGAACACTCCCCCGGCTAACCCAGCAAACAAACGGAATCCTGCGTCATTATGGGAGGGTTGCCTAAGTTCTTCCTTAAGCGTAAGATTTAATATTTTCTATAAGAATAAAGTAACAATATGCTTACCATAGATAAGTTGGAAAATAGAAGAAGGCAAAACAAAATCATTATTTTAACCCATTTGAGTGTTAACCTCAATAACATTACCGAATATTTTGTGCAATATATTTTTTTATGCGTGGCTCACAGGTTGTTTCTTTTCCATAATGGAGAGCATATTGAACGCCTTTCACTATGCCTTCACATACTGTTCCAAAACATTTTTATGCCTGAACAATATTCTATAATATGCTCACTGTAATTTACATAACCATTTCTCTGTTTTTTCTTCCTTGTGGACAAGACTGCAATGAAAAATCTTGAATAAACTCTGCCTGCCTTTCTGTTAATCCTTTCAAAGCAATTTCTTGAAGTAGAAATTATTTGTTGAAGGCCACTGTTTTAAATCAGCTTTTTCACTGCTGTGGCCAAAAGACCTGACAAGAATAGTGTAGAGGAGGGAAAGTTTATTTGGGGCCCATAGTTTCAGAGGTCTCAGACCACAGATGTTCAATCCATGGTCACTTGGAGCCATCCTTTCTGGGCTTTTCATGAGGCAGAACATCATGGAGGAGAGCACACTGCTTACCTCATGGCAGTTGGGAAGGAGAGAGGAGAGAAAGAGAGAGAATATGAATATGAACAAAATCCACTCTTCAAGCCATCTAGACTCCTCCCCACCAAAATTCTACCACCTCCCAACAGTCCATCAAATTATGAATTATTAATCCACTGATAAGTTTAGAACCCTCATGTTCCAATCACTGCCCAAAGGTACCCCCTCTGAATTTTACTGCATGGGGAACTAAGCCTTCCACACATTAGCTCCTGGAATCAACATGAGATTCCAGATCCAAAGCATAGGTGTCTTTTACCTTTTAATTTTTGCTTTGCCTTCTAAAAGTTTTAAATTTTACATAAGTAGTATATAAAACTTCTCATTCTGATTTATTTTAGTATACTAATGTTTAATAACCCTTCCCCTTTTATTGAGAAGATAAATGACATGTTTAATAGTTGTTCAAATTTTAGCATTTAATTTTTAAATCAATGTGAAAGTAAAATGGATTGAAATTCTTTTTTTTTTTTTTAATAGCTAACAGTTCTTAGCCTAACTTATGGTAAAATAATTTTCCTCATTAATATTCGATTGTTTATTATCTATCAAACTTTTATAAATAGTAAAGTATATATCTAAGGTCATTCATTGATCTGAGTTCCTATTCTCTCAATAACATAATTGATGTAGAATTTTTATATTATAAAATCTGTTGTATCCTCCTATTCTTAAGAGGAAAAAATAACAGCTATTTATTCCTGTTTGTTATTCTAATTAAACATGCATCATTTCTTTCAGTTCTCCCACAAATCTAATTATGATTTTATTGAATATAAGTTAATTTAAGAATACAAATATTAGTTGAATAATTAAAATTTAACTATAGTTTTCTCTTTGTTGTTCTTTTCCTAAGTTTTTAAATTTTAAAATTATGTGTGCTAAAATGGAAAACAATTTTAATAATTTTCCATCCATAAAGAAACCAAACAACTTACAAAATATATATATATATATATATATATATATATATATATATATATATATATATATTTCATAACTGTGGACAATTGCTCATGTAAGAGATGACAAAATGTAAACTAAGCTCCTCCTTTCCTTCTCACTCCTACAGTTAGAGACCATGAATTCAAATCTAACCTACCTAGAGTCAGAAGTATGTCAGTAGGGGAATGACACTGGTACTGACAATTATCTGGATTTTGAAGGTATTGATATTAAGCTGATTTTCCTAAAACATTGCTCTTATCATGTTATTACTGTCTTCAAAATTCTCCACGTGGCTTCGCTTCGTCTAGTTCAGTGGTTCAAAGACTTTTCCCTGTTTCGGCAAGCAGAGGGAATTTTGCTGAACACTGGCCTAAACTGATAAGGGTGCTTATAGCTGGAACAGACTGGTTTACAAGCTGCCACTGTGTTAGATCTCACTTGGCATACCCAAGTAAAAAGAAATCAATATATTGGAAAGCTCTGGCATCTATAACAAAATGAAAAATTCTTTCTTTGGTTTCTCAGACATTCTACAATCTTTCTACCAAACTGACTATTAATTCTTACCCCATCTTTACCTGACTACTCTGTTTTAGTCAGGGCACATATTCATTCTCTTCAAAATACCTATAGTACCTTGGAGTCCCAATAGCTTTTGCTTTAGTTGTTGTTGAATGCAAAAATCCTATTCTTATTCTCTACAGTAGTTGAAATCTTGGCTTCAGGACTTCGATCCACAGTTCACCTCCTCTCCAAAGCTGTTCTTGACCCTATTCGAGAAAGTAATTATTACTTTTCAGACCACTTTTGGGAATCCAGGAAGTCTTTCTGCAGGATGTAAGCTTTGAGAAAGCCCTGGGTAGAGACTGAAATGTGGACAAACAGAAGATAAGAAGTGTTTTTCAGATGGAAGGGCCTGAATAAGCAGTACCCTATTTACTGCTATAGTCCAAGAGGTGATAAATATGAGACCTTACCTTGAAAGATTTCTAGTGGATAGGTGGGAAAGAGGACAGGGAATGATGTGTTTAGTAATGTGGGTGCCATTGTTTGAAGTGGCCAGCATTTCCAGTTTATCAAGCCTTCTCATCCCCTTTATTCTGGTTGTAATTCTGATCCTTTTGGCTTGAGTACTTCTTGCTCACAGGAAGGACTGTGGGATGCCAAACTGGCTTTTAATCAATCTCTGGGTCTTCATAAAGGAAGGCTGAGTAAAAACTCTCTGCCTCTCTTCTACGACCACTAAGTTAAAGATATAGACACCTGGAGCTTCCAGAGACCCACCTTTCCCATGGAAAGGGAGGAAGTCTGTCTATTTTAGCATAGTTAAAGGGTAACAACTGAAGACAGAGCAGAGTCCTGATGACATTTTTTTAATCTAGGAGATGGCTATATCTGATCCAGTCCCACACAGATTTTTTTTTTCTCATTTAGGTGAGCCAATAATTATGATATCACTGTTGTTTAAGCTTGTTTGGATTAGCATCTATCTAAAGGCAGTGTTAAGTGCAGTAGTTACTGGGGGTATAAACAGAATGGTAGTTGGAGGGTCAAGAAAAATTGAGGCCCAGCTGGGGAATGAAATTTATCCTATAAGCCTCAGGGAGAAATTGACATTTAGAACAAGGAGAAGTAAGTCACTGAGCTGTGTTTAGGGAGATCACTTTCACAGGGTATAAAGCAGAAGGAAGAAAGAACTAAGAAGGGAAGGATTTGAGCATAATATGTCCACTCTTCATGGGCCTTTGAACTTTTTGAGTCAGGGCTGTTTTTGGTTACTTGTAAAATTCCTCACTGTAGAAAAGCCATAAGGAGGAGTTATGCTGCAGATGGAAACTCATATCTCTGAAAAGATGAACACCCAGACACTGAGAACTCAGAAAAATAAGCTCAAGTATGTCATTGCCAGAAAAAATGAGGATGGTCAGGGAGAGGCATCAGAAGCAAGCTTATTCAGGGCTGAACAGGGTAGAGAAAACAAGAGATAACATGACAGGAATACAGAGCTGAGAGCATGCTGGGGAAGATGATAAGTATCTGAGAGCAAAAATTTTCTCACTTACTAAGAGAAAGATATAGCTGGGTGGGATGAGAAATGACATGCTTTTGGATAAGGGTACAGCCAGGGTGTCTCAGTGGCTATTTTTCAAGGTTATTAAAAACTTAAGAAATGTTAAAACATGGCTATAAAATCTGTGGTAGATTTTAAATAATCTGTGGTAGATTATTAAACAATAACTCAATGAGATTTTGATAAAGTATATTATATAGTACAGTATAATACTTCTATCCATAAGATAATTAAAATAGATTTTAAAATGTCAATTAATAGTATGCAATGTAGTGTAGCCCAGTAATGGGACACAAGTTTAATGTTGTCAGATAAACAGTCGCCTTTTACAGTCAGTCCTTTTACAGTTGCCTTTTACAGTCCTCTGTTCTCTGTGGAAAATATTATGGGGATTGTTATGGGTTATATATGAGGTATCCCCAAAAGCTCATGTATGAGACAATGAAGAAAGTTTAAAGGTTACATGATTGGATTATGACAGGCTTGACCTAATCAGTGCATTAATCTGCTGATTTAGGGATTAGCTGGGTGGTAACTGTAGGCAGGAGATGGTCACTGGGGGTGAAACTTGGGGGTTTATATTTTGTCCCTGGTGAGTGAGAGCTCTCTATGATTCCTGGTAGCCATGTCTTGAACTACTTCCCTCCACCACACACTTCTTCTATGATGTTATTATGCCTCCTTTGGGGCCCAGAGCAATAGAATTGGCCATCAATGGACTGAGACCTCTGAAACCAGGAGCAACAAATAAACTTTTCTTCCTCTAAAATTGTTCGTATTAGGTATTTTGGTCACAGGGGCAAAAAAGTTGACTAAAACAGAAATTGTTCCCAAGAAGTGAGGTTGTTGGTGTGACTAACCTAATCAAATGGTTCAGAAGCCTTTAGAGTTGGTTTGTGGGAGAGGAATTTTAAAAAGTTTAGAGATGCAAGTTGGAAAAGCTTTAGATTGTTGTAAACAGAGCTTAATGTGTGATTCTGGTGGGAGCTCAGAAGACCAGAATGCTGATAGGTTCTTGGACAGTAAAGATTGAGCTCCAGACGTTTCAGAGGACAAGAAGGATTCTACTGGCAATTAGAATAGAGGACATTCATGTTACATTCTGACTAAGAGATTGTCTATATTTTGCCCATGTACTGAGGCTTTATGTGAGGCTGAACTTAAAAGCAATAAATTTCTCAATTTGGCATAAGAGATTTCTAGGTAGCATAGCATTCAGACAGTGACATGGATATTGTTAGCAGTTTTTAGTGAAGTTTACTGTGCTAATCAGGAGCAGAAAACAGCAGAAAGATTTGGAAAACTTGCAGCTTGACCAGAAAACTGTGAGTACAACTGGCGTTAAGGAAGCTGTGATAGTTTAAAAAAAAAAGAAAAAGAAAAGAATATAGCCACTAAAGAGTTGCTGCTAAGTACTCTACCCGGAAAAAATAGAAAAGATGGCATGAGAGCATCTCAGGAATTGGGAAGACCACACCCATCTCTGGATCAATAGTATAAAAGTAAAAATTCCTTTGAGAAGAGACCAGTGGGACATACTTCTTATACAGGAGGGCCTAGGAAGTTATATCACCATGCTCAGCCATCCAGGCACCCAAAGGCTGCTGCAGAGGCTGCTGTAGCCAGACCGGGGGTTGGCTACTTTTCAAAGTGACAGTAGACCTTGGCATCAACCAGGTGGTAGTGGTTCTTCAGGAATATAGGATGCTGGACTTTGGGGGTCATGGAAATTTCCACCAAGATTTCAAAGGAAGGCTTGGGAGGCCAGGAAAAGTGTAGCAGAGTTGGAGTTCCTGCAGGATGCACCTGAGAGCAATGGGTGAAGTGAGAAGGATGCTGAAGCTACAGTGGATACTGCTGAGATTAGGAGATGCCAGTACCATGGGATGTCTGCTGAGGAAAACTGCAGGAATTGAGCAGAAATAAGCTGGGAAGGATAGCACTGTGGGCCACAGCCAGCAAGACTATAGGGGAGAGCTACTCAAGCTCTGTGAAGAGAACATCATGATGCCACGTGCCCCAGATGCTGGATAAGGAGCTATAGGCTTTTCTTTCCCAGCTAGATTTCAAACTTGTTTTGGTCCCATCTTTTCTTTTGATGCTCCTATTTCTCCCTTTTTGAATAGAAATGTTTATTCTGTGCCTTTATATATTGGATATATGTAACTTGCTCTTAATTTTTACAGGGACTCACACTGTCTCAGTGGAGGTGTTGGACCTGGACTTTGGGGAAATACTGGAAGTGTTAGACTATGAGGGTTTGAAAATGGACTAAATGTATTTTGCATTGTGAGGTGGGCATGAGATCTGGTGGCCAAAGGCAGAATGTTATGGTTTACATATGAGGTGAGACAAAGCAAGAAAATTCAGAGGTAAAATGCCTCCCTTACCTTGTTATAAGTGCACTGTTCTGCATGTCTTACTAAGAATTCCATAAATATGACTGCTACAGCCTTAGTTTATGCCTTTATCATATTTTTCTGTGGCTTTTCCTGTAGCATTTTAACCTCTAGCTCATATCTCTGAAAAGTCTGTCCAGTCATGAGAAGTTTAACCTAATCAGTGCATTAATTCATTGATAGGGATTAACTAGGTGATCACTGCAGGTAGGTAAGATATGGCTGGAGGAGGTATGTCATTGCGAGTGTGCCTCTGAGGTTTATATTTTGTCCCTGATGAGTGGGTATTCTCTGTTTCCTGATTGTTATGTCCTGATCTGCTTTCTTCTGTCATGCACTCTGCCTTGATGTTCTGCCTCAGGTTGGGCCCAGAGCAATGGAGTTGACCATCTGTGGACTGAGACCTATGAAATCATGAATGACAAATAAACTTTTTCTCTTCTAAAATTGTTCTTTTCAAGTCTTTGATTCAAGTGGTAAAAACAAACAAACAAACAACAACAACAAAAACAGACTAAAACATGTCTTGTCAAGAATTCCATAAATATGACTGCTACAGCCTTAGTTCATGCCTTTATGGTATTTTTCTGTGGCTATTACTTTAGCATTTTAACCTCTAGCTCATTATCCCTTGGCTGAAGGAATCTTCCATATTCCATATTTCTGGCAAAGATCTCTCCCAAATTGCAAATGCAATAATGTAACAACCTTGGCTCAAAATCTGAAGTAGATCCTCTTATCCCATTGAATAACATTCAACTTCTTTGGCATGACATACCCCACACAAGTATCCCTAACCTGCCTTTCAAGTCCTATTTCTAGTCTTGCCAATACTTCATATCAACTGATTTCCACAATTATGCCACATTCTTTCATCTCTGTATCCGTGTCCCTGTTCTTGTCTCTTCCTGAAAAGCGCTTTTCTTCTTGCTAATGCTTATTTCTCTCTTCTGTCTAAAGTTCCTCAATATTTCGAGTGCTCTCTGGTCTCCTGACTCTTTAGCAGGTCTTCAGTGCACTGAATATTAGATCACTGAAGAGAGGTACTGTGATTTATTTATCTTTGTGTACTCTGTCCCTGGTATCATGCACAGTAAGGCTCAATAAATACGGGCTGGAAGATTGAATTAATTGTCAATAACCTCCCATGCTTTCAGGAGCAAGTGCAAGTGCACTCATAAACTTCGTCTTGCAAACAATTTGCTCTATTGGATTCAGCAGTGGTTGTCCACAGTTTTCTGGATGGTTCTCATAAGCAGCTCTGATTGTTGCAAAATGATTCTCATTCCCAGGCTTCCATATTAACATGCTTCTTCCAAAGCAACACTTCTTTATCATTGTCTCCTGACTCCGCACAGCCTGTTGAAGAATTCCTATAGGACCATCTCCTTGACTTAGACTACAATTTCTGTGTAGCACACAGGATCATCATCATTCATTGCTGAGATTGCAGCATGCTGCTTATCTGCATGGAGTCATTCTCCAGGCAAGAAATAATGCATTATTAACACAGCTTTATTATCAGGACCAAGTTTGGCAGATAGAACAACATTAGAGGATAATTGGAAGGACAGCTGATTTGTTAGCAAAATGTTGCCTTTTGGCTAATGAATCATTCCGATTTTTGCACTGACAGCTCAGTAACAAGCTTGAAGACTACTTTGCTTCAGACCATTAAACTTTGACAAACCAGTTATTAAGTACAGCTAGAGCCAACGGTCTGTGGGGATTATTGCAATTATGAGCTATCTCCATAATTTTTTTTAATCATTAGGCAAGACAAGGTGAGTCTGATGATGGAGGGCCTGATGACTGACAGTCCCTTGCTTTGTAGTACACAAGGCAATAAACAGCTGTAGGAGGACTAATCAGTCAGCAAAAGCTCTTTTCTGGGAAGATGTAGTAAAAGCAATAAAGGTTATTGCTCTCAAATGACAAATCCTGTTCAGGAAGAGAAGGACAAGGCTTTCCTTTAATTTCTAGTTTGGAGGCTGAGGTCTTTTCAAAGGAGAATTAGAGGGATAAAGAGGAAACATCTCAAATGGAGAGAAAAATCAAGGCTGGACTCGTGCTGGGAGTCTTGCTGGGCTCAATTCCTATGCTATTTGGACTGCTGTGGCATTCAACATGCCCATTGGACAGTACCTGCTCTTTTCCCACTCTGCTCCTCCCTATGTGTGAAAGGGATCTTGAACTCAGGTGGATAACAAAAAAACATTTGAACAAAAAGAAGTGGCAAGGACTATGGTAAAACTACAAGTCGATTAATTATACATCTGTGGGCCAGATGGCAGCATCTGGTCTGCAGATAGAGGTCCAGGTCCTCAGGGGGCATTTTGAGACCCTTTGAATCTGCCTATACCCCACAAGCATTACCTTTCTATATTCCCCTTTTTAGAATCTGTATGCTCCAGTCTAACTGGGATGTTCTCCACATGTGCCCTACACTTCCCAATCTCAAATACTTTAATTTTCCCTTGAAATTCATTTTTTTGTAATTTAATCGTATTGACTTTATGGGTCCATTTCTTTATCTGTCAAATTATGAAAAAGGAATAAATTAAAACAACTTGAAGATGCCTTTCTCTTCTAAAGTTGGGTGAGTCGGTAACATTTTTTCATCAGCTATGGTTAGAATTGCTGTGATTCTAGCTGCATTCTGGGCCTTATGATATTCTGCATTCCTTAGGTGGGCACATTGCTGGGAGTCTTGCTGTCGTCACGGATGCTGCCCATCTCTTAATTGACCTGACCAGTTTCCTGCTCAGTCTCTTTTCCTTGTGGTTGTCATCAAGGCCCCCCTCTAAGCGGCTGACGTTTGGGTGGCATCGAGCAGGTATAGTTCTTCACTTGAAAAATAATAACCAAGTGGCGCTACAGAGTCAAACTAAGGGTTAAAATGGAAGGTAAAGAGTGAAGCCTTGTTCAAAAGTCTCTTAGGGATACACACCTTTGGGCCCAGGATTAAAATAGATATGGGAATGTATGTTGCTAATATTAATTCAACTAACAACCAGATGAATGGTGCTACCTCTTGTTTTATGGGACAATTGGAACACGTGTGTAATTTTAGGAGCCACCCCAACACTAGGATCTCAGTATATGTTACAATGATAATGCTATTCATTTAACTACTTGTATTCCTGGAAGAGAGGATTAAGCTAAAGTTTCTGCCATATTGCAGAACAAGACTCAGAGAGCCTAAGAGAGTTGCAGAGATTGAAAAATTTCTCCCTAGGAAGTCAGGAACACATCATGGGCCTTCCTGCTCACAGAAAGCATTTAGTCATTGCTATGGTTTGAATGCTGCCTCTAAAATGCATGTTGCAATGTAATTGTCACTGTGACATTGTTAATAGTGGAACCTTAAAGAGACGATTACATCATGAGGGTTCTGTTCTTAACTAGTAGATTAATGCCTTAATTGCAGGAGAGGGTTCCTGATGTAAGGATGAGTTTGGCCCAATTATCTCTGTCTTGTACATGCTTTTTTGCCCTTCTATTATCCTGTGATACAGCATGGAGGCCCTTGCCTGATGCTGACACCTTGCTCTTTGGACTTCCCAGCCTCCAGAACTGTGAAAAATAAATCTCCTCTCATGATAAATCACCCAATCCTTTTTGTTAGCAGAAAAAAAATGCACTAAGAAAGTCATCAGAGAATGTCTGACTATGTTGCTCAATCAGTCATCACCAACAACAACAGAAGAAAAAAAGAGGAGGAGGAGCAAGAAATGAAATTTCACTTTGGGGAGCTTTTTCTTCCACTGAGTAATTGCTTCCTTTTATCGAGGAACTGGCCTGGCTCATGGCAAAGGTTTACTTTCTGGGACCTTCTAATTTTGGCTCATTTTTACAAATTCACCTACCATTTCTTTCTCCCCAACAACTGCAATTCTACTTCTCCTCCTCTGTCCTGGGAACCAAAAGTTACAGCTCCATGTTTTTACATTGCTCGAGAAAATCAATACAAAGGAGAAGAGGGCAGAGCAAGGGCATCCATGTTGCTAGCCTTCACTGAAGTGTACTGATGGATGAGGACCACAACTCCTAGACTAACTACAGACTACAGGTTTTCAAGTTTAGAGTGATAGGAAGTTCTAATTTCATATTAAACAATTTACCATTGCAGATATTTTGGGATTGCTTTCCCTTTATCATTCAGAGAGAGATGAGATAATAAAAGCAATAAAGAGTTTGTCACCATATAATCTGAGAATGCTTCCACCAGTCCTGAACAGAGCCACACCTGAAAACCATGAACCTATCATTTGTCTATATAATTTTTTGCATGTATTTCATTCTTACCAATTCCATTAATCATAGCTGTTTTGTAAATGTAGGATAGTTTGTAAAGACAGGATGGACTCAGAATTTAGATCATTAATGCCCTTCGTCAACTTGGTCATGGAAATCCATGAACGTTGATATTCCAGAAGACCAAGGCTGTTCAAAAGAACCCTCTGTTACGAGAGAAAATATTTCATAATTGAGTATAATATGGCTATTGAGAACTTTAAATGTGGTTGGTACAACTGAAGAATAAGAGTGGTTTTTATTTTAAACATTTTCATTTAAGTAGCCACACATGAAGGATGGCTATCATGTTAAGTAGACATATAAATGAGCCCATCCTAGTCCACCCACAAACTGGTCTGGCCAACCTGATGGCCTTACTCATCTCATGGTTTTCTTAGCAACCATAGTACCATTTGTCAGTGGTTCCTGAGGTGCTTTTTAATTTAGTTTTATTTTAACTAGTTCCTTTTGGATTTTTGTCCTGTTGAGACCTGACTCTTGTTTCTTGGTGTTTGGGCTTTACCATCCCAGCTCCTTGTCTCACTGTATCTCTCTGTTCCTGGCTTTAGAGTGAGACATGCTCTATTTCCATATCCTTATTTGGATTCTTACAGATAGGATATTTGGGACTTGATATCTCTGAATCCAATCTCTGTTTCTAGATAACCATAAATTCTTGAGTGTGGTCCTCATTAACTTCTGCAAAGGGAGTTTTAAATAGTCTGAGCAGACTAATAAAAGAATAAATATTTTTTGAGTGTTTGCTATATGTCATATTGGTTTCTCAGAGTTCCCTTATCAAAGTGCTTCAAACTGGATGGCCCAAATAAAAATTTTTCATCTCACAGTTCTGGAAAACAGAAAGCAAGGATCAAGACATCAGCAAGATTGGTTCCTTCAGACTGTGAGTGAAATCTTTCTCTCTGAGCTGCTGGGGTTCCTGGGTTTGTAGATCCCTGCTTTAATCTTTACATGTTATTTGTCCTGTGTGCATGTCTGTGTCCAGATTTCCTCTTAGAATAGGTATAACAGTCATATAGGATTATGGGACTACAATATGGCCTCATCTTAACTAATTATATCTCAAAGACCCTATTTCTAAGTTCACAGTATGAGGTACTAATGGTTAGCACTTCAATGGATGAGTTTTGGGGGAACACAGTTCCACCCATAGCATATATGTTATACATATATGGCATTATTTTTTTAATATTTATTTTTTAGTTTAGGTGGACACAATACCTTTATTTTAATTCTATGTGGTGCTGAGGATCAAACACAGTGCCTCATGCATGCTACCTGAATACTCTACCACTGAGTCACAACCCCAGCCCCATATATGGCATTATTTATAGATAAGGAAACTCAGGCTCAAATAGGTCAAGTGACTTGTATAAAGTCACATGGTCAGTCACTGACAGACCATCTGCATCTGATACTTGAACTCATGCCCTAAATACCTGCACCAGCCTTTCCCATAGTATGAGAAATATTCCGTGGATGGATGGATAGTAGATGATTTTAACTGTCATAAGGACAATAATTACACATCCTAATACGCATCAGAAAATAAACTAGCACATCAAATTCATAATTTCATGGATAAATTTGTTTAGGAAGAAGCTGAGGGTGCAAAGTTGAATTTATTTGAAGAAAACATGAAGTGACTAATGAGACAGGTGGCATGTGAATATGGAAAAAGCCATAAAGGTTGTTTGACAGAGGTCTGAGAAATAATAGCTGCATACTGGGTAGTAGCGCTTTACCTCACCCAGACTACAGGGAACTGACATCTGAGATTAGTTTAAAGCAGGTAAGGATGATAGTATGGAATGTACCTGACCAGTGATTCACAGAATATTTCTAGACCCCAGTAGGTCTTTGGAATCCACTAAAGAGGCTGAGTTAAAGATCAGGGTAGGTGTTAAGCCATGCCTAAGTAAGCAAAGGTACTTTCCTCCATGGGTAGATTGAACACTATCTTACCTTTAATATTAATGTAACTGTCTCCGTTCTGATGCTTCTTTTCCTTGCAGTTGCTCTTAAAAGGCAGTTAGAGTGTTGATAAGGCTCTGAGCTTGCCTTTGTGTTTACAATATGTCGGGTTGGCAAATGAAACTCATTTTCATCAAGTACGATTTTATTTCACTAAAGGTGCCGGTACTGGCAAGTTGTAAATGTTTTATGGTAAAATTAAGAGTTTCTAAACACATTTTACTCCTTGTGTCTCATTATTTCATCCCCTAATAAGTTTCGATCATTTTAGCACCTGTTTAAATTAAAATCCCTGAGGAAAACAGTGAGGGCAGGCAGCAATTAATATGTTCTAAAGATGCTAAAATTGCTTAGAAATGTGGCTCATAATGAACTCAGACACTGGTGTTTTACGAATGCAACATTATAGTGCCTCATGTCAGCTCTAAAATCCACCCACACTTTTGCTTCATGAATCACTGAGTGAACTAGTTTGAAGCTTCTTTCTCTAGAGAGAAAAGCAATCTTTTGACTCGAGTATAAGTAGGTGATGTGTGGGTCATTTGTGAGGAGTGTCCTTGTGTGTTTACATCCCTAGAGATCCTTGGTGCCCTGCTGTCTATCCTTTGCATCTGGGTGGTGACTGGTGTGCTGGTGTACCTAGCCTGTGAGCGCCTGCTGTACACTGACTACCAGATCCAGGCGACCGTGATGATCGTCGTTTCGGGCTGCGCAGTTGTGGCCAATATTATGTAAGTTGCCCCCATGCAAAGAGCCCATATGGTTTAACATCAACCCTGTCTAATTGAGGACTCTTTGGGAAACTCATCTACTTGTGAAGATGATAACAGATTTGACACAGTGTTCCAATGGCTCCAAAAGTGACATTAAGGCTACAGACTAAAGAGATTTTAAATATTGGCTTCTATGACCTACCCATTTTGAAAGTTTCCACTGTGCCAGAGACAGAGCCAGGATCTTTTGATACACATTATCTGGCTTAGGATTCACAGCACCCCAACTTCACTGATTAGGAAATTGCACTTCAGTGGATGAAATAGAGTGCCAGTTATGGAGAGTCAGTGTTTGAATCCAGAACCACAGACCCAGAATTGAGCTCCAAGCCATTCCGTGCATGTTGATGGTTCCATTGGGGATAATACATTCTCCTCTTTAATTTTTTTTGGCTGAAACAGATTATGAGTTCCCAGAAAGTTGAGTTAAAAGGCATCTTAGAGTTTATTCACTTCAATTATCCTTCTGCTTTTTAATGCTCTTTTCCAATATCCCATAAAGTTGCCATTAGTTTTGTATATTATCACAGAACTAATAAAAGGGAATTTATTTTCCCCAAAACCAATATTTTTCTTTGCTTCACTATGCCTGCATGAAAATTCTTCAAGATATGTTAGCTAGACTCTCCCTTTAGTTTCTACCCATTCTCTCATCCAGACAACCTTAAATCAATCTTATCAGAAATGATGATTGAAAATCTCTTGCGTATAGGTTTGCTCTTCCCAAAGTTAACTACTGGATTACACATGACAGTGGAGTTTGTATCCCAGAGTTTTGATAGTTTTGGGTTAATTTTCCCCTTCTTACTTGATGATCTAATTCTAAAACTATCTATCCATCCATCCATTTATCTATCTACCAACAATGCACTACCTATCTACCTATCACCTGTAGAAGACAGAAAAATGACACTCCAAATATGCCCACATCCAAATCCCTGGAATTTCTGAACATGTCAATTTACATAGCAAAAATAATTTTGTAAATGTAAGTAGGATTCTCAGATGAGGAGATCATGCTGGGTTTTCCACATGGTCGCATGTAGCCATGTGGGTCCTAAAATGAGGAAGGTAGAAGTTCAGAGAGAAGAGCAGATGCTACACTGCTACACTACTGGTGCTGGCACTGAAGCTGGAGGGAGGGACCTGGGACCATGGGATAGAAGTGGCCTCTAGAAACTGGACAAGGCGAGAAAATAAATTCCTTCCCACAAATCTATCAGGAAGAATGCAGTCCTGCAACCCCACATTAGACTTCTCATTCCCAGAACTAGAAGATAATAAATTTGCATTGGTTTAAGATATTAAGGGTTTGTGGTAATGTTACAGCACTAATAGGAGACTCATATACGGGTTGAACATCCTAATCCCAAAACCCCAAATCTGAAATGTTCTAAATGCAGAAACTTCTTGAACACCAACATCTGCTCAAAGTTTCAGATTTTTGAGCATTTTGGATTTTCAGATTAGAGATGCTTCATTTATAAAGTCTATGCAAATATCCTAAGATATGACAAACTCAAAAAATCCAAAATGCTACTGGTGCCAAACATTTCTGGTATTCAACCACGACTACCTACTTGTCATCTAGCCATCTTGCAGTGCAGCTTGATACATGTCATGAGGTCAGTGTTTACATGGGAGTGAAGAAGACAGCGTTGGAAGAATGGTGCTTTGAACCGAGGATTCTAAGAGAGGGCACAATGGAATCTCTGGAATTCAGGGACAAGCAAGCTGAGCACGTTCAGTTCGCAAATGCTGCCTTGTGTCACTAAGTCTTACATCCTGGGGCTGCGGTCCCCCACCTCTCAGTTCATGAACTATTGTTCCGTCTCAGAGCTAAACAATCAACAGAATAATGTTCAATCTGCCATCACTAGCTAGATCCTCTCTCCTACCAGTTAACCTGAAACTGCATTTCACATTGGCACTGGAAGAAAGAGTGTGGGCAGATCAATGCAAATCTATCATTTTGAGGAGATAAATGCTCTAGAGCACATGTACTGCTGACTGGGGGTCAATAACATCATCTTTACATAAGGAGAACAATATGTCCTCAAGGCAGCAGGAAGAATGAAAATATTAATAATTTCCCAAGAATCATATGTCACATAGGTTGTGTCAATGCTACACAAAGATGAAGGATATCCCTAGCCAACTGCCACATCAATCTGGGACTTTAATGATGGAGTTCGACTTTCAAAATAGATACCATCCAAGTTTTCTTTTTACTGCGACTGCTTTTGAACATTGACCTTAACCTTGCAAGTACTTTTCATTCTTAGAAAGACAAGGGAATTGAAAAGCCCTGCCTTCCTTGTGCAAACAGATAGTTATTTATGGATAAAGGTGCTGAGTGACTGTAATGTTTTCTCTAAGAACTGAGATTGCAGGTTGCAAATTCTGCAAGACATTGTAGTGATTGAATATGAAGAAATCAGAATTGCAATTTGCAAATAAATTTGGAATAAATCTATTCCTTGGGGACCCAAAATCCAGACAGAAAATTCTAGTAGAAGTGGTGAAGGGGTTCTGTGATGAAGGGTGTAGACAGAGCTTTAAGGCTATTGCAGGCTATTTTTTTTCTGCCTAAAATATTCCCTCCTTTCATAACCTTTTAAATTCAGCTCACTTGCTATATCTCTCTAAGTCAGGCTCCTCTGTTGGCATTATCCATAGCAGCAATTCTTAGTAACCATATTATAATTAGAAATTTCCATTTGTGTTAGTTTGTGTGTGCAGGCGCATGTGCGTGCATGCACACACACACGTGTGTGTGTGTGTGTGTGTAAAATCTTTGCTGTCTCTAACACAGTTAAAGCTGCACTAGGGAGGGAATGCATATATTTTTATTCACTATATAACTGAAGTATTTAATAGCACTTGGTGCACGAGTTCTTAAGAAAGTTTTACCTTTTTAAATAAAACAAGTAAAAGGGTGAATGACACTGTGATGATCATATATGGCAAATCTGTAAGAGTGTCTGTTAACTGCCAGTCACATTGGGCTGTCTAACTTTGAATTGTAACTCATAGCTAAGGTGTTTCTATCCAAACACAAAAATCTGAAAACTGTGCCTTCTGTAATGATCATATTTTGGCACATAGCAGTCATTCCACCTTGTGGTGATGGCTTAAGACTTAACAAACACTTTTACCTGCAAAAAGACTAGATATATATATGGTGTCCCAAGCAATAAGAGGTTTTTAAAAAGTCTTTATTCCAAAATGTTCAAAAAGGGTATTTGGCAAAACATTCCTGGTTGACCATCAGTGAAACAATTCTCCTTTTATATCTAGTATAAACTTTGTGAATGTTATAGATAAATAGAATCAGTTGCATAATTTTTAGTGACTACTACTTTATCACCTTGACTTGGACAAGAGATGCTACACTTTGTAATACGTTGTATATGTATGTGCGTGTGCACGCGTGATGTACATAAACAAGTACTTTTACAATATATTAATGTATCTTTGCTTCTAGATAAATAACTATATATACATACACAAAACACTCTCACCATATGCCATTAAGAAATTATTCAAATTTTAAATGCTCATAGAAATGAACAAAATTAAGTAAAATAAAAGTTTAAAAAAACATCCCATGATGAGATTCATTCACTATTATTTTGTTTTTTCTCTTTCCATTGCTTTTTGCATTTGAAACCAGTATATTAAATCAAGCTCTCCCAAGCTCAGCTTTAAGTATAAATCAGTGGCTGACATTTAGTAGATGAATGAAATTTTTCCTTTTTATTGTAAAATGTTTGGTTTTTATCAAAGAAATGTTGCTTTCCCATTTTAATGTGAAAGAGAATAACATTATGTGGATGAATGAGAAAACTGAGGTAAATTTTTATAGTTTGTCCTTGTGTGAAAAATTTAAAACTCTGTGATACACCTGTATTCAAACATAACTCCAAAATGATACATTGTAAAGCATACTTTTTTTAAACTACCTGCCATTTTGAATAATGCGTGCTATTGTCAGCTCCTTTGTTCTGCTGCCTAGGTTTGTAAGGGCTAATCTCACGTGTGCCAAGAACATTGTTGTCTTTCAGACTAGCTGTGGTTTTGCACCAGAGACACCTTGTCCACAATCACAATGAAGTACAAGCTAACGCCAGTGTCAGAGCAGCTTTTGTGCATGCCCTTGGAGATGTATTTCAGAGCATCAGTGTGTTAATCAGTGCTCTTATTATCTACTTTAAGGTGAGTGCATGTGAATGTACCCATATTGTAGTAATTACATGCATTAGCACAGAGGCTGACCCTCCAATATTGCAAATACCAACAACCTTATCTGAGTTTACCTATACAAACTGCTTTGTGAGATTAAAACAAACACTCAAAGCCTGAAACCTGAGTCTTTCCCAAAGTCCTAAGAACTATGTCTTTAACTATTGGACTGCCAATCTTTCAAAAAAGCAGTTCCTTTCGCCATGCCATTAAGGTAGACAACAATGAAACTATTAATACCTTAGAGTTCTTAGGTAGTAAGCAACAGAAAAGATCTCTGACTCATTTAAGAAAAAATAAATAAATAAACACGTGTATTGGCTGAAATCTATTGAACGTATTTCAGGACGGAAATCAAGGTAGAAATATGGGCAAGTTTTGGTATCTAAATGTCAGAAATAATAACAACTTCTGTCTCAGGCACCATGCTAAAATAAATGTGACTTGACCAATTTTTTCTTCCTGTTCTTGTCGCTGCTGAGGATTTATATTTCTTGGAAGGGGAGTCCAGTCGACCCTAGTTTGGGTCCTGTGCCTGCCTCCTGGTTGGGGAAGATTAAGCACCTGATGATTCACCTGTCCTACCAATATTGCTCATAGGCAGAAGGGTTTGGTTCCCCCAAAGCAGGATTCTAATTCAAGAACCCTCTCACCCTGAACAAATAAATATGATCTACAGATTGCTATCTGTTAATATCAAGAATGAACAGCGGGGGGGTAAAGACAGGTGGGGAGGGCAAAGAAGGAAGGAAGCTTTTAGCTCACCTTTTGCATCATGATGGTCCAAATTACAGGGACTCTTTACTGTTTTTCCTAAGATATAAAAATATGAGAAAATTTGAGAAAATGTTCCTTGAAAACTTCAAGACTAAGGCAGAACTATTTTAAACTTGGAAGAATTAGTGGAGTTTGAGAGACCCTTTACAAAGGTTAGGTTGATGCTGGGTTTCTTAGAGAGTGGAGCCTGGACTTGCCTGTGGCATTGAATTTCATCAAGGGAAGAACAGTAGGTGTTTTACCCCAAAGTTATGGGATCCAGTAGAGAGAGAGAGAGACAGCAGGAGTGACACCTTTGCTTAGACCCTTAGGGCTGTGTCACAGATACCTATCTCAGAGTATGTGTAATAGAGGAGAAGGAAAGAAAGAGACTAACCCCAGTACACCAAGACCAAGGGCTGGTTGCACTTGGGACAAATGCAACCTCTCAGTAAATAATATCCTTTCTTGTCCTCATCATAATTAAGGCTGAACAGTCATTGCACATTGCGGGCATCTTTGTGCTTGTTTTTTATACATATCTGTACTTATATTAAGAGAATTTAAATCAGGCCTCTTAAGAATGTTTTTCACTTTCATTTTTGAATAGTCTCTACTCTTTGGTCACTGGTAATTTAGAGCTGAAAGGACAGACTGAGTCTTCAGGAAGGACATCTTGCCTTTGTGTTGGATGTCAAGTGTCAGGGGGACAGATGTGTGACTGGGAAAGAAGGGAACAGGGAACTGCAGCTATTTTATTAATCAAGCTTTCTCCAAGAGAACTATGAATTCAGTTAACCAAAATTGCTGTTTTTTAGCCAGACTACAAAATAGCTGACCCAATCTGCACATTTATCTTCTCCATTCTGGTGCTGGCCAGCACTGTCATGATCTTAAAGGACTTCTTCATCTTACTTATGGAAGGTAGGAGGGATCTCTTGATTATTCCTAAGATCAATGCTTTTTTCCCCTATGATCACACAAGGGGATGGCTGCAAGGTGTGCTCACTGTTAATTTGTATTATGGGAAAAATTAAAAGCTGATAAGGAATTTTTTGTGAAAATGAACGTTTGATTTTTATTTATATGGGAGCAGATAAAAAGTGGCTTCTACTTATATCTCGAGCAACTGTTAAATATCCCACATCATAAATATGGTAAGTGTTTTAATCAGTGTTTTTGCTGCTGTGACTAACAGATCTGACCAGAACAACTTGTAGAGGAGGAAAGTTTATTTGAGGGCTCATGGGTTCAGAGGTCTTAGTCCATAGAAGGCCGGCTCCATTCCTCTGGGCTCTAAGAGAGGCTGAACATCATGGCAGAAAAGTGTGGCAGAGGGAAGCAGCTCACATTGTGATCAGAAAGTAGAGAGACCCCACTTGCCAGATAAAAATATATATACCCCAAAGCCACACCCCAATTCCCACCTCCTCCAGCCACACCCTATCACTTCAGTTACCACTCAGTTAATCCCTACCAAGGGATTAAATCACTGATTGGGTTAAGACTCTTACAACCCAATTATTTCACCTCTGAACCTTTTTGTACTGTCTCACATGTGAGCTTTTGGGAGACACCTCACATCCAAACCATAACAGTAAGTATAAACATTAACAGTGGAGAAAGATATTGCCAAAATATAATTATATTCCTAATTATACCTGGAGAAGACTTAAGAAAGACAATAAAAATCTACCTCTCAGGCAACATTATATCTGAACATTTATGTCTGATTGTGGCTTGAAGTACAAGAACACCAGGGTGACTTATTTGTCAAGTGCTTACTGAGCTCTGACTGCTGGATCATGTGCTCAAAACTAGAGCTACAGAGATGAGCTGAGACTTGTTTCTGTCTTCAAGAGTGAAACTTTAGTGAGGGGAGAAAGAGATAATTCAAATAATTACTCAGAAATGGAATTGAAGTGCTACTGAGAAATGGTGTGGGAATTTGAACAGCTGGGGAAGAAAGATAGGTGGTCCCCGGGGTGTGCTGAAGAGGTGATGTTTTTTGACTTGCTCTCCCCCTGGTAGGATCTCATGCTAATTAACCTCATTCAACACAGCCAGAGTCTAGTCCTGATGACTCTCCTGGCTGATCTAGCTCCTGGGGTCTTCTAATTAGTCAGGAAGAGATGAAATGCCTTCACTGTCAAGAAATTTTTCATATGACTAAAGCTTACTGGCCACCTCTCCTGACATTATGCATTTTGCTGATTTTCTTTTCCTTTAGCAAAAGTAGTTGAAGAACTGCTAGTTTTTGCCCTTTCCAGGCTACATCTTTACTGGCAGTTAGGTTGGAGAGATATTGTGCAATTGAAAAGATAGAATTGCAGAGACCTCAGTTCAAATCCTAGCCATGAAAGTTTTTAGCACTTTAGACTTAATTCTGAACTTCAGTTTTCTCAATTCAAATCTGGGAATAATATTCACCTTGCAGTGCTGTTGAGAGGATTAGATGGATCTATGGCATCATTTCTGGAACACAGTGGTAACTGGATGTGTACAACTTCTTAGCAAGCTTTTTAATTTGACTAGAATATAGGAACTATAAAGCTAGGTTGTGGAAATGAACCCTATACTGCATATTATTCTCACATCAAGAAAGTCCCAATTCTTGGCCACAAGCTGTAGCCATAGACCTGGTCAGTCATTGATACTAATGACCTCAGAAGAGCTAGATAAGAGAGTCTTGATCAGAATAAATTCATCTTTGTCACTGGAAAAACTATTTGATACTGGGTGAAATGGGAGATCTACTGATTCACAGTGATGTTATCTTAGTGTACAAGTTGAGTAGCCATTATCCAAAATACTTGGGACCAAAGTGTTTAAGGCTTTAGACTTTTTTTTTTAACATTTGCATAATGAGATATCTTGGAGATGGAACTCAAGTCTAAATGTAAAATTCACTAATGTTTCACACACACCTGTGCACATAGCCTGAGGTAATCTTATGCAATAGTTTTAGTGCTCCTGCATTTTGACTGAGACCCATTCTTGTGGCCTCATGTTGGTTCTGAAAAAATTTGGGATTTTGGAGGATTTCAGGTTTTGGGTTTTAGATTAGGGAAGTTCAATGTACTAAAGTATATTAGAGGCATAAGGTACTTGATTATATTTGCAAGGTGATTTATCATCATTATATTGACAGTTTGTAATGAACATAGATGATGTCATATTTTCTATTCTACTTATTAGAAAAACAGATATTACAGAGGATTTTGCTTAAAAATATTGATAGACTGAGCCAGCAGTTATTAAACTTTGGAGGTATCAAAATTACTTAGAGGTGTTATTGAAGGGCAGATCACTGGACCCAAACCCACAGCTCTTGGGTCAGTAGGTCTTGTGTGTGAGAAGGGGCTGAAAGAGCAAGAATATGAATTTCTGCCAAGATGTTGATGCTGCTGGTCCCAGCACCATACTTTGAGAACCACTGGATGCACCTTATCATATTTTGGGATTCCTCCATGAGGAGAAGGATGATGATAGCTCTGGGAATTATCTGGAAATCTCAATCAGATCTGGAGGTTTGCATCATATCAACTATCCAGATAATTAAAAGTATCCAAACATAGGCTGAACTTTTCTTTTTGTCCAGATCATTTTGAGTCATGGTAGACCAAGTCCCAGAGTGTAGTCACCTTCAGTAACACTATTAAGCACACATTTAAGGATTCTACTCCTTGTGGGCACCATCATTATTGGCAGATAGTGCTATTACACTGAAATGGATAATGGACATGAACATCCACTACCCATTTTCTAAACTGAGTAACAAGTGAACTTTTTGACTTTGAACTTGGGAATATTTGGTCTATCAAATTACAGGTGCCTCTATTTTCTTTCCTGAGGGCCAAGTACGAAGCTTCAGCAATTGTCACTATTATGGAAATTACTGACTTACAGAAAGATCAGAGAAAAACTGAAGTACAATTTAAGATGATTGTTTTCCACCCCTCCTATCTCAGAAAAACTCTTCCCTGGAAATTATCTCTCTTAAATTTTTAAAGGAACAGTACAGAATCTGGGCTATCTTAGCTAATTAATGAAAATGGCAGGTAACTCTTTACTGGAAGACACCCAATTTTTTAAATTAGTTTAATATAAAATAATTCCATACCTGGTAAAATTTTTAAATAAGACAGAAAAGTATAAAATAATAAATTGTTTCCCCATATTTCCATCTCTAAATTCTCAATCCTGTGCTTCAGGGGTCACTTCTATTAATAAGTAAACATACATTCATACATCTTTCCAAAAACATTCATTCATTTGCTTGCCTTTTTTAAAAATAAAATATGAGATTAAATGATGTTATTTATTTGTTCTCTATCTTGCTATCCTTCACTTGGAGATATTTCATATTACCACATAAACAATACCCCATTTTTTTCATATCTGCAATTACTCCACCGTATGAATGAATGTTTTTCCTTACAGTTGGCATTACAAACAATGTTGTGGTTACCACTACTATATGTGCATGTTTTTAACACTTTGTATCAGTGGAATAATTCACAGAATTAGTATTTTTGTTTCAAAGTTATATGTATTTTAAAATTGGATAGATTGGCTGCTTTTACCCAAGATACCACATCAATTTCTTTGCTACTAACAGCATGTGCAAACACTCACCTTTTCACATCCTCATCATCATTGAGTATTATCAAACTAGTGATTCTTTTCTCATTTGACAATTGAAGCATTATATGTTATTGATTTCATATGTAATTCTTTAATTATTATGGCATTGAATGTTATTTTCAGTTATTTATTAGCCATGGAAGTTATCTTTTTAACATCTGTTTTGGATGTTTTCCTGGATACATTAATATTTTTTCAGACTTTTCCTCAATAAAAGAAGTTTCTAGGCTGTGCTGGAGCATCTGCATCAGGAGAGACATGCCTCCTGCTTGACAACCTTATATCTTAGTATAAAATAAGTAATGGTGGCCTTTTGTTCTCCATAAAAGAAAAAAAGTAAATGTCAAATTATAGTGACATCCTGACTTCAAGGGTCCTAGATGACAACAGGTCTTCACAGAGTCACCTGAAACTCTCCCAAAAAGATGACACACACTAGTTCTAAGAATGAAATTTTTGATTCCTTTGCCTAAACTCTTACCTTCGCTTGACATGTCAATGCTCAGAGATTCTGAGCTCTCTGTCACTTATCTGTGTGGCCTTAGCAATGTTCTTAAGTTTTCTAATCCCTATTTTCTCAGTTAAGTGGGAACTACAACATCGATAACTAGCCCATAAATTTCTTAGGACTCTTAAATTAAATAATTGTTATAGATAAAGTGTTTAGCACAAACCTTATACATGATAGGTGCTCAATAAAGACTTTTGTTATTTAGAAAATAACAATTTGCCTTAAGACTTCATGCATACTCTATGATTCATCTGAGGCAAGAATTCCTTTAGTTTCATTCTAGTGCCCTGAGACTTTTGTTGCTCATAGAGTAAAAGGATATGTTGATCAGCTCTTCGTTACTTCCATGGTACAATAAAAATGGGGTTCAATTAAACTCAAGCCCTAGAAAACTTTGAGTTAATCTGGAGAAAATCCCCTATGAGAAGATTCTTAAAGCTCAAAAAAGGTAGGTTAAGATTCCTTATTTGTATAAATAGGTGGGTTTGGCTCTAAATGCTCATTGTAATTATCTGGTAAGTATTTTAAAAGACTTATACCCAGGCTCCAGAGAACTAGATTTAATTGTCTGGGGAGTCTTGATATATTTTTTAGCATACAGCAAGACCGAAAAACATGTGAGGTCATGCTTCTCAGGGACTCACAAGTATTAGTGTCATGGTTCTTAATCTCATCTGTGTAAAAGACTCACCTGATGAGCACTGAGGTTGGGTCTCCTCCCCAGAGAGCTGATTTCATGGGTCTTGGGAGTAACCTTGTCATCAGGATTTCTAAACTGTGCCAGCAATTTTGATGTGCACACAAGGTTCAGAACCACTCGAAGATCTGGGGGTTTCAGAACCTCACCCACGGAGCTTTCCATTAGGGGGCCCAGATAGGAGCCAAATCTTTATTACTTTTAACAAACACCTCAGGTGTTTGCATTGTGCATTATGTAGAGTTGAAATAGAGGCTACAAATGAATCATTCTTAGACATATATTCTACAGATCCTCTTTGGGTCATCTTTAGCTGATAGGGATTTACTTAACATAAGATTTTACCATTGTTGTGCTGGCTGGATTGGTATTTTTCCCAAAAAAATTTTTTTGGAAAGTTTTTCCAAAAATGTTTTTCCAAAAATAAATTCTTATATCGAGTTGATTTCTATTTTCCTATTCCAACCAACCATCGTTTCTGTTTCTCTCTCTGAAGTTAGCCAGAGAAACTGTCCTTACACATTCATGTTCTGTCACCTTCTATATGACAGGTCTTGCAACATTTGAAAACAGTGATCACACATCTCTTGGCCTTCTCTTCTCCAAATTAGAGACACCCAGTTCCTTTGCCCAAAAGAAGAGCTGGTTGACTGTCAGATTTCCCACCTTCCTGTATTCCCCACGTGGTTTCTTTAGACACAAAGATGACAGTCAAACTATTCCGTGTTCTGACCCAGCCACTGAATGCAGACTAATGTAGTAAACTAATGGAAAATTTAAAAATCAAATAATAAGATGGTATTACAATGTTAGGTTCCTCTATTAGCACAGTCCATTATGTGACCTGGTAGATAACCAACATTTTTATAGCGTTACAATTTACAAAGACCCGATATCTCTTGAAGGGTTCCTCAGAGAACTCTGTGATCTACAAATTGTTCTTATCATCCCTATTTTACTACAAATATGCTGAGGATCAGAGAAGCTTCATAATTGGAGTAAATTCACAATAGTTGTAGGCAGGATGCTAACCCAGGATTCATTGAATATCAAATCCCATGTCGCTTCATTTTGCTTTCCAGAGTGCACGCGGATAATTAGGAAAAGCACAATTAGTTTAATAATAGACTAAGGATGATTACTGTTGTTGATTGTTGCATAGTAAATCCTGCAAGGATTCTGCCTGTGAACTTCTGATTGATGGTAAACCTTTGGAAATAGTCGGATTTGTAAACATTTGAAGTAGGAAGCCAGAAAAGGGGAGGGCAAGTTGGCGAGGGCTTGGCAGTGCAGTTAGCCATCTCCACCAGTTGGGTAACAACGCCTCCTGCTCCTTCCATCAGGTGTACCAAAGGACCTGAATTACAATGTTGTGAAAGAGCTCATCCTGGCAGTCGATGGCGTTGTCTCTGTGCACAGCCTGCACATCTGGTCTCTAACAACGAACCAAGTGATTCTCTCTGTTCATGTTGCCACAGGTCAGTGAGTTTTGTAAACACCCCCAGGCAAGATTCCATCCTTTTCCTGAAAAGTCAGTAATTTCTCTTCTTTTTCGAGGGCTGACCTTAGTATCCATTGCCTGTCAAAACAGCTGACGAGTGGTTTGTACTTTGAAAACCCACCGGTTTATGGTGGTTGTCACAGCAACCATGATACCAATGACATTCTCCAGGCTGATTGCAGTGCAATACAAAGACCCAAAATGCCTCCCCAACTTCAAGGCCTTGGATTCTGAAAATTCCACTTCACCTGTTTGGCTTGGTGTCTGACCACTAAAAATATAGAAAAGAATTTAGCAGTAAATCTTGATTGAATCTCTGCTGCGTATAAGATGCTCTGCTCAGTGCGGATGTTAGAGGGAGAGACTGAGGCCCCAACCATAAAATTCAAACAAGCTAACAGATGTGCTGGGAGAATTAGGGCAGGTCCTTCTCCGGATGGTTGGAGATTCTGTGACCATGTGAGACGATTCTCAGGACATTATACTAACAGCTACTTTTTTTTTTTTTTTTTAAATAGAAGGTGATTTTGTCTCTGAAATGTCTCGGAGCTGGGAGAAATAGGAAGTGGGAGGTCTTTCACTGCCTCAGGAGAGAGCTTAGGCCAAGGATGATGAGTTAGGCTGCTAAAATATAGTTCAAGAAGTTACTTAGTGGCAGAGGGACGGGGACACCAGTGACCGTCATTTGAGGGCTATACTTCTCAGACATTCTCATCTTCTCTGAGGGGCTCAGATCTGGGTTTGGGGAATTTACAGCATTCTCTACACCAATATTTCACTGCAAATGAAAGAATATAGTAAACAATCAGGTTACTGGGGAAGGGACTTTATAGCCTCCTGATACCATTTGGGACAGGAAAAAAGATGGCCATGGGGTTAGCTGCTCTAAGAGAGGTCTGTGGGGAGCTCTGAATGCTTCCTGCTTCCTGTCACTTGCCTTGATATAAATTCTAATTAAATCCAAAACTACAACCCAGAGATCCCTGGGGGCTGGTGAGCAGGACTGTGTAAGAAATAACAGTTATATCTTGGCTCTTTCGCGGGTTTGTCTTCCTTCCATACTCAGCTCCTGGGAGTGCCAGACTCCAGAGGTGACTATGGGCAGGAAGAGTTCCCATAGTGACAGGGCACTTTGCTGCACTTGAATGTCCCCTGCCTTGTCTGTGTGAACATAGCAGAGCCAATGTGGCTTCCTCTGAGTGCTCTGTCTATGCTGCCCAGCTCCCCACCCCCAGGCCCAAGACAAAGCATTTGAAGCTTAAGTCTTAGCCATGTCTCATGTGTGTAATCAATGCTAATCTCACCCTAGTTCTTTATCAACAGCAGCCAGCCGGGACAGCCAGATTGTCCAGAGAGGAATTGCTAGAGCTCTCAGCAATAGCTTTCCTGTGCATTCGCTCACGATTCAGGTGGAGTCTCCAGTCGACCAGGACCCTGCCTGCCTTTTCTGTGAAGACCCTCGGGACTAATTCAGTCACACTGTCAGCTTCCTCTGTTTGATAGACCACAACATGCTGAAACATCAGAAATAAGTAACCAAAGGAAGAATTTTGAGAAAGTCACACTATAGTGTGATGCACGTTTTATTCTGAAGATGCATATAGATCCATCCGTCAATTGGCTTTTATACACACGAGTAGCAGTGTTCAATTATAGGAAGGGTGTAAAGGTTATTCTTAACTGGCACCAAGATAACAGCTGTTTGTAACCACTGGCAATAAAAGTTTTACCTCCCTCCAATAAAGCATCCTGAAAATGAGTAGGTAAATATGAATTGAAGAAAGTCTTATCTCTTCAGTGGAAGAGACAAATAGCCACAAAATTCCCCCCAAACCTCAGGGGTAAAAGGGAATCTAGAGTCATTAGAATTTGATTTGTCCACCACCCTTAGCTAAGGTGACCTGGGCAAACATCTTCTGCTCCCATCAACATCACAACTAAATGGGGTAGAAATTCCCTCTGTTAGTCTTGGATACAAATTATGTTGTTATGTGTCTGAAACTGTTGAATTGTATTTTACTTTTCTGCATAGAAGTCCTGGGCAAAAGAAAATTGTGAAATTACTGATTTTTGAGTGTTTTCATGTCGTATGACTTAATAATGCAAGAAAATGAGGAGACACAGAGAGGGAGAGTACTTGCCCAGGTCACATGGAAGGTAATTTGGTTAAGAATTAAGATCATAACTTTCAGATTTTGAAAAATATTGATGGACCGCTAACTATTATTCAATTATTATATGAACTATTTAGATATGTATGTCCATTGTTAATTTTTTCCTAACAATAACTTTGACAAGTTGGAATAAATGCCATTATTGTATTAAAAAGACACAAAACTCAAAAATGTTAAGCAACTTTCTAATGTTATTTATGCATTCATTCAAAAAATAGTTTTTTTATGTTTGCTATGAGCTGAGACATTGGTGAATGTCTGTTTTCTATTGCTATAACTAAATTACACAGACTGGGTAGTTTATAGAGATAAGAGATTTATATGATTCACGGCTCTGAAGGCAGGGAAGTTTGAAGTCGGGTGAGTACATATGGTGAGATCCTTCTGCTGGCAGGAGCTCTCTGCAGAGTCCCAAGGCAATAAGGGCATCACAATGGAGAGGTGATGAGCCTCCTAGCTCTGCTCTCTTCTCCTCTTATAAAGTCATAGTCTCATTAGATTAGGGTTCCACATGTCTGGTCTCATTTTAACCTTAATTCTCTCCCAAAAGTTTCACCTCTAAACACCACGGTTGGATTAAGATCTCACAAGAAGGATTCAACTTCAACAAGAGTTTCGGTGGGGGCTGTTCAAACATAGCTGTGACTTTTGCCCTCAAAGAATTCTTTTTCTTTTGTGGGGGAGATAGCCATTGCATGGATAAACACACCCAGGAGCATATTACAGGGAGCTGCGATGTGAAAGAAGAGAGAATTATGTAGATTGAGGAAAGTCAACAGTTTCTCTGAGGAAATCGCATCTAAATTGAGAGCTGAATAAAAAACGTAGGTACTATTAAAGTCAATTATAAGAGGAAACATGTTCTAGAAGAAGAAAGATATGAATAGACCCCCTGAAGAACTTGGTGCATTTGTGTACCTGAGAAAGGCCCTTGTAGCCAAAGGGTACACTAGAGAAGGGAGTGAGTTAAAAAAAAACATGAAGGACATGAAGCAGGAGAGATAAGTAAGGCCAGGTCAGAAAGTGGCTGGATCTATTTTGTCCTAAAGCCCATCCATACTTTCTTTGAACACTTTTTTTCTGTTTTTGTTTTGTTTTGTTTCCGACCTATAAATCGATGCCAACAATTAGTCATTGCTTCAGAAGTGCGTGAAAAATATGTATGATTGTACATTCTTCAAAAGGATGGGATAAATAAAATGTTAAATGTACAAGCTAAGGGATGACAATGTTTCCTTTATGTGTCCTGTCCATCACTGAATGTGATTCACAGGTAGCACTGGACTTGACCCTGTCTACACAACAAGTCTGTCTAAAGCAAGAGGTAACCTGAAGGAATTGGAAAGGTCATGAACTGACCTTCCAAAAGGCCTTGCTCCCTAGATTTGGGGTTATATCATTAGCATCAGAGCTCTGAAATAGAGGAGATGGAGTGGCATGGGTGGAATCTAAAACTACGGTGGAGGAATAAACTTGACAGAGAATTAGAAAACACAGTTTCCATCCCTTTCTTCTTCCCCCCATGTGTCTACCCTTAAATTGGTTCTCAGTTCTCTCAGATTCTTCATTTGAAAACAGGGATTCCATTTTCACCAGGGGATTTCAATCAGAATTACATGGGATAATAAACACAAAGAACAAGATTCTCTGTGTGGTAAATATTGAGTGCTCAGTAAGTGGTCCCTCCAGTCCAGGGTTTCTCAACCTCAGCACTCCTCCTTTTGGGGTCTGGATCTTTGTTGTGGAGGCTGCACTGAGCATGACAGGAAGCTCAGCAACATCCCTGGGCCCTACCCACCAGCTACCGGTTATGCTCCCACCCCTAGTTGTAACAACCAAACAGATGCACAGACACACAGAGAGACTTCTGGGCTACAGGAAGAATGGGGGGTTGCTTTGATGGTAGAAATTTGGAACTTGAATGACAAGAACCAGAGCACAAGAAGAGGCAACTTTGGACTGATGCATGGTCACTGAGGATCCATGACATTAGGGTGACAGCCATGCTGGAGGCTCTCTAGAGAGACCAAGAACAGAGCATTCCAGACAGAGAAAGGCTGTGCACAAGGCACATGTACATTTATTCTGCTAGTTTTTAATTTGAAAAGTGAAATACAGATGACAAAGGAAACACTCAACCCTGTGACTTTTAAAAATATGTGATTCTTCGTGTGTGTGTGTGTGTGTGTGTGTGTGTGTGGTGCTGGGGATTGAACCCAAGGCCGTGTGCTTGCGGGGGCGGGGGTGGGGGGGAAGCACTCTACCAACTGAGCTATATCCCCAGTCCTAAAAGTATATGATTTTTTGATGTAAAGTTTTTTGAGTTTTTTTTTTTTTTTTTTTTACCCTGGATATTAATGCTCTGAGAAGCAGGTGGCAAAGATCCTCTCCCATTCTGTAGGTTCTCTCGTCATGCGCTCTTTTTTTTTTCTGTGCAGAAGCTTTTTAATTTGATGCCCCCTCACTTATTGATTTTTGGTTTAATTTCCTGCATTTTAAGAGTCTTGTTAAGTAAATTGGAAAAATAACTAAACAGACACTTCTCAAAAAGAAGAGATAAAAACAGCCAACAAACATGAACAAATGTTCAACATCTCTAGAAATTAGAGAAATGCAAATCAAAACTACCTTAAGATTTCATCTCACACCAGTCAGAAAGGCAATTATAAAGAATACAAATAACAATAAGCATTGGCAAGGATGTGGGGGAAAGGTACACTCATACATTTTTGGGACTAAAAACTAGTGTGACCACTCTGTAAAGCAGCATGGAGATTCTTCAAACTCTAGGAATGAAACCACCGTATGATCCAGCTACCCATTCCTCAGTATGTATCCTAAAGATCAAAAATCAGTATAGTGTAGAGATATAGCCAATCAATGTTTATAGTAACACAATTCACACTAGCCAAGATGTGGAACCAACCTAGGTACCCTTCAACAGATGTATGAATAAAGAAAATGTGATGCATACACACAATGGAGTATTACTCATCCATAAAGAAGAACGAACTATGGCATTTGCTGTTAAATGGATGGAACTAGAGACTATCATGCTAAGCAAAATCAGACCCCAAAAGTCAAAAGTCAAATGTTTTCTCTGACATGTGGAAGCTAGTCCAAAATAGGGTGTGGGGGAAAAAAAACAGAGAAAGGGAAAAAAAAAGTGGTGTGTGTGTGAAATTCCATTAAAATATCTGTGGACTAGAAGAAGGGTTTGAGGGGGCAGGAGGAGGGGTGCAGGATAAGGTAAGAACAGTGGAATGATTCTGACCTAACTTTCTTATATACATGGATGAATATAACACAGTGAATCTCACCAAGTATATCTGCAAGACATTAACTAACTAAATAACTAACTAAATCAGTAAATAACAGAGAGATCAGTAGAGCGGAGGGAAGGGAAGACAGAGAGGGAGATGGGAGGGGAAAGGGGAAGGACTGGGGACTGAATTAGAACAAATTATCTTCCTTGTTTTTGTAAGTATGTCAAAATGAATCCTAATGTCATGTATAACTAAAAAGAATCAAAAGAAAAGAAAAATGTCTGTGATTTTTGCAACTTTATGATGATTACAATGGTGAGAACAGGAGTCATGTCTTGGATGATTTTTGCACCATCATCAGCCTCTAGCAGGATGCTGGAGACCTAGCAGTCATTAATAATGGTCAAAGCAATGACTCTGAGGCTACCGGTGAGTCATGTCATTATTTTTCATTTACATTGTGTTTTTCTAAAATTTTGAGGCCAAGAAAACATTGACTTTGACAGAGGAGGTCATATCTGTGCCATTTTGGCAAATCAGTCAGTGATATCAAAAAGGCTACTTAGCATCCTGCTGACAACTCGCCCTGCTGGGTGGAGACAAATAGACTTGTCCCCCACCTCAATGAGCTCGTTTAGACAACCAGGGTTAGAGCTGCCACATCTGCTCTCTGAATAGTAGGCACAGTTCATGCCAAATCCTTTATTCAGTCTCAAGGGACAACAAATGTTTCTGAATTTCCACGTTTTGTGCAGGACAGGACCTGAAGGCCAGGTGACCTGGCAACTGCACAAGTTGTAGTGCAATTGTTTGCTTTTGTTTTCTCTTAAAAATCATCCGTTAGATTTGATTTTATGTCAGAAATGCACTGCCAGGTAGTTATAAGGGTGGGGGAGACTGGTGTGTCCACCAAAGGAATTGTCCCACGACTTCTAGCTATTTCTGCTATTTCTCTGAAATTCTACTTCAGTTGGCCTGGGTGAAAAGTCTGGATGGTAAAATGCAACAAGATAATCTTGAATGAGAACT